AAAAGTACAGTAACAGTAAATGCGCATGTTCAGTTTGGAGGAAACATATGTACCTGTTTACACTACCTGTACGCAGTTCATTTTTGGGTTCTGTCAACCCCAAGATGCGGAATCTTTGTGTATCCTACTCCGAACTGGACAGTGACAGTCCATTGTCAAGCGGTTCCACGGCGTTTGACCATAAACAGAAGTGTGTTGTAGTCAATAAGTTATGCACAAAATCTAATTTTTCACCAGTGCTTCTTCCTTGTTGAAACTTTTTTCGGAAGACGTCCGGTCTGACATCTTCAGAGTATGTACTCAACTGTGTGTTTATGTTAATGCATAATTAACGTTTTGCAGTAAATTATTTACGAAGTCTAATTTTGCACCAGTGCTTCGTCCCGTTATAAACTTCCTCCGTCGGATGCCTTTTACTGTAGCAGTGATTGCAGTTATTGTTCAGAATAAGCATTCAAGCGAGTTTAGAGATGTAATGAAAATTGAAGGCAGAAAAAGAAATATACAAATATACTAAATTCTTATGGACTTCAAAAACAAGTTTTATACCTAGACAGACTTATTCTCGACAGTCTGTCTGTTTACGCCTTGCGTGTTGTACTCAAATATCTCGTACAGGTAATCGCCGAATTATTCCCAATGTTTCACAGAATTTAAGGGTCCAGTCTCAGATGATGTAGACAATCTTACTGAGAACCAGTGACAGAATGATAAAGCAATAATCGCAGGAGGTGGAGAAGTAGTCGATATTGCATCCAGCAAGATTAGTTCAAGAGTTTAATCAAAACCAGAAACTTAGAAATGTCTAGAAGCCTTGGAAAAAGAATTCCTACTGCTTTGAAATTTATTACTACTATTTTCGAATTTGGTGGTTATATTAATTTTTATTGATTAGAGACTGTTGTTGTTGTTAACTTTTAAAACAAAGTTTAGGACTTGCTAGACGTTAAAAATTTTATATTAAAAGAAAATAATTCAGAGTTTTCAGAACAGCGACAACTTGATACCGCTGTTGCAGGTTAATCGTGCTAAAACTTTCGCCAACACTTGCTCGTTCCTATGTTAAATAAACTTTATAATGATAGTCACATGTTTTCAGGAATCTTCCGGCAGCTTTAGGCAGTTACTACGACTTCAATGCTCAGGAACTTGTCAGTCTTCCGTCAGTGTCGTTTCTGAATGACATAACGATCGGTGATGGCGAGAGCGTGCCTCCGCACACTCGATTTAACAAATTGTGGAGGATATGCAATTCGGGAACGAACCCATGGCCCGAAGGATGCAAGCTTCGCCACGTCGGCGGCGAACGGCTGGCGGACGAGAGCGAAGTTTCGCTGCATCCACTTTCGCCCAAAGAGGTCGAGGATATCTCCGTTCCGATGACCAGTCCGGCAGAAAATGGCATTTACCAATCACAATGGCAGATGGTCACTTCCCAGGGTATTCCTGTTGGAGGTCAGTTTTTGAATGTTGGATCTTTATGATAATCTTTCATGCTTGGTAGTGTTGAATTATTAGAGTTGCTGATGCTTGTTTAGCTAGGCTGCTATTTCTATCCATTTTACAGGCATCGAAACGATTGTTTTTCTGCCTGCTCCATTACATACGTACATCAACGATGTGTTACTGAGAAATGCAGGAAAATTAATCGAATGTACATTCACCAAACACATTAGGATAAGTGACTTGCTTCACCTGACTGAGACTGAACTGGATCCTAAGAATGTTGTAAGTTTAACATACGGTTCAGCTGTGAAATATCTAGGATTAACAACACGCTTACCTGGAACGTGCACGTTGGCCGTATATGCTATCGAAACGGTATTTAATAAATTTTTTTATACATGAATCGTGATGTCGATGAGGTAGATTTGCTTATGCCGGACCTATTTTGTCTTTTCATTCTCCTTTAAAAAGATTTCGTAAAGTTCCGGAGATCCCTCACTGTTTGCGTCGTTTCAGAGTAGCATTAAACTTCAGCTATTGGTCCTCTTTTGGCATCACGAACCTGCGGGCAACCAAGACAGTTCTTACACCGTCAGAATACTATTTTTTCCTGTGCTTGTCCAGAACATTCAGCACGCGATCTACCTGTGCTTACATGTGAACTCTAACAGCATTTGACATTCATCGATGATTCCATTCCTGGCAAAAATACAGGTTGATACTGTGATTGAGCTCAGTCAACTGTTAGAACAATTTCCACTCCAACGAGATGCATTAATTACTTGCCGTTCATGACTTAGTTGCTATTTTCATGCTCCCGTTTCAAGTGCTATGTGAATTTAAGTTTGTCTCACTCCATGAAGCATGACATGAGTGATATAAATATCACTTCAGCTCAAACCCTCTACCAGGGGTTATAGATTTCCAGTACTATTTTTTTAAATTGTGGCCGTTCCTTTCAGCGTTATTTTAGCACCCTCTCTTTCCGCTACTCCGAGGACACTAATCACCGCAGAAATGATATCTCCCAGTACCCTACACATCTTTTTTATTTCTACCATCAGTTTTTGATATTTCAGTATTGTATTCTGATATCCCTTTTGCTTTGTCTACTACAGAGACGATATCCGAACTATGAGCCGATTTTTTTCTGTTCTTCTTTGGGAGTCCAACAGGGTCTCTTCCATTGTTTTTGGCTGATACTTCCACCATTGCAGTGTTGAATTATTACAGTTGTTGATGCTTGCTTCACTAAACTGCTGGCCATATTTTTGATCCGGTAGGTTTGTCGGGGAACTAAGCCATGGCCGGTTCCAAGCCCGGATGAGAAAGGAGGAGGGTTGGAGACCGTGGCAAGTCTCCGTAAAATT